TGGCATACATTCATGTGTAAATTAAATGTCTGTCCTAGAACCTGGGCACGGTTTTGTGTTTAGTAAATACCGCATACATCAATCTGGTGTGCGTCTGTTGCAAAATGTATTTGTATTTATTCTTTGCCTTTTCATTTATACATACTTTATTATTTCGGGTATAAATACAAGTCTGTGCTGTATTAGAGTTTACTATCGGAGACACTGTAGCCTAAATGCTCATGGGAACAACCAACAGTTACCGTGTCTGACCTGAAATCGCCTCCCGACAAGGGACATAATTTTTTTTTAATATTTATGTCGCATCCCTGGTAGACTACAGTTTCTTTCGTCGCCGTCTCCATGGGCTCTAGTATAACCTTAGGATTAAACAGGGTTTCTATGAGTTGCCCCTGGGGATTCTCATCCGAATGGTAGCACTTTGTATCTCCAGATGTTAATGGCTTATTGTACGGTACTAAGTAAAGTTAGGGGCCCTTTTCCACGATTTTTCGGTAGGCAGGTCAAACAATTTCTTGAGGCCTCAGAGATGTGGTTTTACAGAAGAATGGTTAGAATACCCTGGACAGCCAAAAAGAGCAACCAAGAGGTTTTGAAAGAGGCGGGAGCCCGAAAACAACTTATCACAGACATCAGAAGGAGACATTCATCTTTTTTTGGGCTATGGTATGAGAAGAGGGAAAATAGAACATGTTGTGACCACTGGAAAGATCTGTGGAAGGAGGGATAGAGGAAGACAAAGAGAGAAGATGCTTGATAGTCTTGTTGCATGGCATGGAGGTGTGTCGGCACACGAGCTAATACATGCTGCAAGAGATCGCAGATTAGAGGCATGATCGCCCACGCCAGTCGGCAAGGCACCTGATGATGATGGGTGATGTGGTCAGCATCATGCCGGCCGTCTTTACTTCACAGAACTGCACCTGGTACCCACCCAAGGCTAGGTCGACCTGTGAGATAAGGTTATTTTTGAAAAAAAAAGAAAGATTGTACGGTCTTAGTAGGGTTAAAGGTCACTCATTCGTTACCGTGGGGTTGGATGTTACTTTTGAGGGCTGGTAATAATGCTCAGCTGAGAGTGGTGCAAACAGCGATCATATAACATAACTTCTGCGTGTTAAGGGTTATGATCATTGTTTCATAATCCCGCCACATCAGAGTTTGATTCAGCTACACGCCGATTTTACATCTGACCACTTTGCGTTAGATTCGACTGTTCTTGGACAGAAGCAAATTGTTGACATTTTCGGTGTTACAAGTCAGTCAAACTGATTGTGAATCAACTCATAATGTCTTCTTTGGTATCCTAAGAGGTAAACGTAAAATAGCTATGGGAACTATTAACGGCCAACGAATATTTGAGTCGTACAAATATCGTACTCTGTCATACACATCGACTGAATCAACTCTGAGTTTGCCTTGTACGTTTGGTATGCAGGCACGCATGCACACACACACACACACACACACACACACACACACACACAAACACCACACACACACACACACACTCACATTCTCGCACAAAAAGTATATCCTGTATTGTTGAACGTTAGTCAACTTGTCTTTTTTTCATAGATATATATATATATATATATATATATATATATATATATATATATATATATATATATATATATATATATATATATATATATATATATATAAGAAGTCAGAGAAGCAATCAGATGCAGTCCCATAAATAAGGCATCAGGTGTTGATGGAATATCAGCCGAGGCAATACAGGCTTGTGGAGAAATTGGAGTCACTTGGCTACTCCACATATTTAGGAAAGCCTGGAATGAAAGAACTGTACCAATAGACTGGCAAAGAGCCCTTATAGTCCCAATTTGGAAAAGAAAAGGCAATAAGCAAGATTGTAACAATTACAGAGGCATCTCCCTTCTAAGCCACGTAGGAAAATGTTTGCCAAAATTCTGGAACAACGAATTAGATCCGTTGGAGAACCGATCCTGAGCCCATCACATGTCGGATTTAGGAAAGGAAGCGGGTGTACTGACGCTATTTTTGCTTTAAGACAAGTTAGCGAAAAGACAATAGAACACATACATCAAATGAACATCGCTAACGTAGATCAAGAAAAAGCTTTCGATAGAGTAAACAGAAATTTATTATGGAAAGTTCTTGAAAACTACGGTATAAATGGAACAATTTTAGATTGTGTTAGGGCTATTTATAGACAAAGTGAAAGCGCCATTAGAACAAGAGCTGGCATCACAGACTGGTTCCCAGTAACATCAGGAGTAAGACAAGGTTGTGTATTATCACCTTTACTTTTCATAATATTTATGGACAATATTAATAAAATAGACATAACACCAACAGATGTCGATAAACAGGAGGACTTCAATGAGCTGCTCTTTGCCGACGATCAATGCATATTTCACAGTGATAGTAAATATCTGCAAGACCACATAAACCTAGTACACCACAGTTGCCTCAAGCATCATATTAAGATCAATACTGAAAAGACAGAAGTCATGAGCATAAGTAGAGAGCAACAGACCATCGACATAAAGATTCTAGATCACAGCCTAAAACAAGTGCAAGAATTTAAATACTTGGGAAGTATCTTTACATTAAATGGTAAAATAGACAGAGAGATCGAAGCAAGAATCCAACAAGCCAACAATGTCGCATACCAGCTTGTCCCAATTTTAAAACACCCTGCTGTCCCAGCTGAGATAAAAAGACAAATTATAAATACAATCTGTATACCGACATTAGGTTATCAATGTCAGACTTCGACATTAACAAAAGAACACGAGAGAAGACTAACCACCTGTGAAATGAGATGTTTGAGAATGGCTGCGAATAAAACCAGAAGAGATAGAGTGAGAAACGATGTGATTACAAGAACTATTGGAACCATACCCATCGTTAAATTTATTGAGAAGCAAAGAATGAAATGGTTTGGTCACCTAATGAGAATGGATCCAACGATGCCAGCATCAAGAGCATACAACATGAAAATCGAAACACCAAGAGGCAGGGGAAGACCAAGAAGAAGATTTTTTTAGTTTTAGCTTTCCTGGCGCGAGTTGTAGGTGAACTTTGACTTTTGACCTCAGAAATCTGCATAAGCTGTAAGAGATAATAAACTATGTGGTAAATATTACACTGGCCGCGTTCACTTCTAATTGCAATTCCTATTAGTCTGGGTGGACACGGATGGCGAGGTCAAAAAAAAAAAAAAGATAGCATCAGGTGATGAATTTCGAATCCTTCTGAGAGGGAGAGAGGCGTAGTTGACGGATTGTGGGGAGGGCGAGGGAGTTGCAGGGCAGGGTTGGGGGGGGGAGGGAGTGGGGTGGGGGGAGGGAATAGGGTGATGACAAACACTTTTAACTGAGAGAGCTTAAAACATGATTTTAAAGTTCTAATTTTTAAATAATTTTTTTAAACGCTTCCTTGTCTGTTCTATTGTGTGTTTTTTTTTGTTTTTTTTTTCACAAACTTGTCGGTTATTTACAAGTACAGTGGGAAGCTTTACTATTTACTTAAAAAAAGTATATATATATATATAAATATATACATATATATATATATATAAATATATATATGTATACACATATATATACACACATATACATATATGCACATATACCCTATTGTCATCACCATCAAATTGTAGCACAGCTCTCTTCTTTGTTGCGTATGTCGATGTCACACCCAGGTTCGTCTTTAGGTTTGCTACATGAAGAGTAGATTGGAAGATTATAGGCGAGGAGAAAGATGGTCGTGTCGATAGTGGTGATGATGATGATGATGTCTTACTATCTGCATGCTTCTCACTTGACTCTGATGCTTGTTTAATAAATGGCTGGAAACAACAGTTCTCGTCTATACTGTCTTTATTGTGATACTTCAACAATGTCGCAAATACATCAATGATATTCTGAATAGCGCTGTGTTCTCTCTATGGCTAAATACTCGTAGGTTCGCGTTGTGTTCTTCATCTCTAGTTACTTTGTTAACTGATTCTAGTGTCTCTAACTGCCACCTGGCTTCTAGTGCTGTTTGGTACTAACGTCTTGAGCGTTGACTCTAACACCTCTATAGTGTTCCTAATATGTTTTTTGTTCTCCATGGATCCATGTATCTCGTGTGTCGTCTCTGTAGCTCGATGTCTCGTTTTATGTCTACTCTCCAGTGACTGTCTTCAAGGTTCCATATGAACGGCTGCTCTGCTTCCAGTGTTGAGCTGGCATCGAAGATCATTGAGACTAGTCGCTCGTCCTCTGAGTCTCAACGACTGAAGGCTTCTAGTGTTGGGCTTACATCTCTACCATTGAAGGCTGTTTTGAGAGTCCATTACTGGTCTCTCCTCTCTTGAGTCTTGTGGACTGAAGAATTGCTAAATTCCTTTGTTACTCGCTATTTATACTTGGATGCTGGAAGGCTAGGTATTTGTTTTCTTCTCGCTTTGTCTGCTTCTAGAATATTCTAGTACGCCTCAACTTGTTTACTAGGTAGGTTCTCACGTTGGATTTGCTAATTATATCTCGATTGCATCAGATTTCATCATCCTATTCTACGCAGATATAGTAGTTAAACTGACAATTGAGGTCATAGAAGCTTCTAAAAAAAACAAGGACAATTGTGTTTGCTTTGATAGGGCACGTCAACAAGGTATTTACTAGGAAGACAAGGTTGGTCACATGATGAAACAGGCATTTCAAAACTTCTAGAAAGAAGGCCAAGGCCAGACAACATCAGTTTGATGTCAACAGCTAGTTTTGGCGGGAAAAGAAGATTCTGGAAAAGGGAATGTCAAGGCTGCCAAAACTTGTTGATTTTCAGTGCATCATAACTTTGTGCCTTCTAACAAATAAGCTATGACTTAAACTCTGTTACAAAATGCCATGCCGAATGACATGGGCGATTAGGGTTTCATTATGTAAATATGTCGGCTTGTTTTGTCCACAGAGGAATGTAGCTGTTCTGTCAGGTCTGCTGCTTCTCTGACATAAAGGATTATGTTCAAGTCTATGGTGACAGTCGCCAAGGTTACCCTCGTGTTCCTCAACATCTGGGTCCTTGCTGTTGTGCTCGTTGTCTCCTTGGGTAAGTGCTGGTGTCATGACTTGTAATCATTTAACCTTAGTTTCTGCATGGTGTCCGCCTCGTGTGCTAGATGTTTCGAGTTCAATCCCCGGTAAGGGCTGTGATTTTTTTCACCTGTTTTTGGACTTCCAGCAATGACCCTTGGTCTCTGTGTAGTGAGATCAGACACCCGTGTGTATGGTTGCGCACGGAAAAAAATCCCTTGGCAGTTAGAAATCGACAAGAGTAGCCTAACAGAACTGCTCGGGCAAAATTTGGGGGTTAAATCTACCTAAAGTATTTCAGGATCCTCGCCGGTCCTACAGAGACTGTGCACTGTGCTGATGAACCTCTTCGGACTCAGACTTGAGTTAGAAGATAAACAAAGCACTTAAAGGTTACTACGTGTGTGCCATGATGTTGATCCGTTATTGAAACCTCAAATCTCAATTAAACGGGTCACCCCATAGTTGCTCCGCTCCTGTTACAACAGGAAACAAACAGAATGTCCATCACTGTCCCTCGTAGAAAAATTGACATGGACTGCAGTATCAGCTTTTCCATTAGCATACACACGCATAGCAGCCATCATAAGTGCTAACACAAACAGTCTGACATTAGAAATTCAGTTTGCTATCGACGGAAGCAGCAGTTGCAAACAAAAGAGTAGTTGCATATTTGATTAATTTTAGTCACATAGGACACTATCGATTGTGTTGCAACAGGCCACGCGCCATTTTTTGAATCTACAGTTCACAATATCACGTTGGTCACAGTCTAAAAACATTCCAAATGAAATCGGCAACTCACAGTGTCGCGTCATGCACTCGACTCTGTAGCTAGATGGGAAAACTATATCCTTACAGTCTACAAATAAAGGAGACTGCAAGAGCGACTATCTGTCTGAAGCCAAACAGCAGCCGTGCCTAGTGTCCATTTTCACCGGAAAGTTTTTAGCTGCTCTCGCAGCCTCTTTTCGGTTGAGGAAAAAAAAAAAAAAAAAACTCCTTGGCTATGATACCACTGAGTGTCGACAAAGGCACAGGCCGAAAGCTCCATTTGTTTATCAGTGTATACGTTCTGGTTGTTCGTCCACTTCTAGATTGCAGTCCTGTTCCAGAACTTGAGTGTTGCGTGTGCATCCGCTTGACAGATCTGACTATTTTAAATATGCAGATTGTTGGTTCCATCCTTCTCAGGCAGATGCACTCCGACTTCGAAGGAAGCTCCCAATTAGGCGATTCTTAAGACATGCTTTTGGGTAGACAATGGGTCTATTCTTGTTTTCCCTATAACAGGGCCCTGAAACCCACACGGGGGACTTCATTGTGTTGATTTGGGCCGAGTTAAGAACCCAAATGATAACACTCAGGTCGTTCTCATATGTGCTCCGTTCTCATCTTCAGCAGCCAGGAAAGAATTCGCGTGCAGGTGGTACCAAAATGGGATAGTTAAATCGTGTTAAAGTAAACAAATGATTGGTTGTTGCATTTATTTTTAACAACATTAGATGTAAACTGAATTTTATTTCATAACAACTGACTGATCAGAAGTGGTCGATTGTTTGGATTCGATTCAGGTGAAGGTCATTTTATTAAAACGTAATGTGAGTGATGGTTTATGACTAAACAATTGTGGTATTTGTGTGTGTGTGCGTGTGTGTGTGTGTGTGTGTGTGCTTAAGTTTTAATTGTTTTATAATTTCATTATAGAAAATGCACTGATAAACGCTGGAGTAGGCTCCCACCCCTTCTCTCTCCCCTAACCCCCACACACATGGGGTCATCATATCCCTTAGCAGTTTTCCAGATAAGATAGCGGGCTAAACTGCTTTATCTTGTCAAATGCATAATAATAATAGTAGTTTCAATAATTCATTTATTATGAAGAATATGAAATAAATGGTATACTATGTTTGAAATCATACATGCAGGGTTTATTTTATGTCGGTACTAAACAGTATGTACTAACTACACAGTTTTTAAACATAGATTAATATTACAGAGCTTTGGTTTGGTTTACACAAATAATCAACATCATGGCACAAGGGTAATAACCTTTAAGTGTCCTGTTCTACTTCTAACTCAAACCTGAGTCCAATAAATGTCATCGCAATGCACGAACTCAGTAGCACCAGCGAGGATCCTGAAATACTTTGGGTAGATTTTTACTCCAAATGTTGCCCGGGTAATGCCGTTTGTTTACTCTTTTCGATTTCCAGCTGCCAAAGGAATTTTCACGTGCAAAAAAAAAAAAAAACACTGAGAGGTGATCTAGTGTGTGGGTAGGTAGTTGTAGCCCACCAGGACATCACACGATAAGGATCACCCGTGGAGAGGTCCCAAAAAACCCTTTCAGCCGTTAGGCTATATCTATGGTTAGTTTATATTTAGGCCCCGGCTATATTCAGGGTCCTTGGCAGAAACCAGGATAATATATATACATAGGTCGTCCACTTGTGGGATGCAATTTTTCGTTTTTGAAAGCACCACCATGCCCCGTGCCGGAGGCCGTAAATAAAGCTGGGCCACAATTGTGGCCATATCAGCTGAAAGGGGCTTCTGGAACCTCCCCATGGGTTATCATCATGCGCATGATGGCACTTTGTGTCACCGGGTATTTATTGCGTGTGTGATGTCCTGGTGGGGTACAACAAGTGAGCAAGCTTATAGACCTACAAATTTGGGGAAAACAGGCGGCAGTCCGCCACCCTTCACATTAGTTTGGGGTAGGGGTAAGTGGCTTGAGATATGTAAGCCCTTAACACCCCCCCCCCCCCCCCCAACCCCCCCCCCCACACACACACCTTTTTTTTCTGCCCCTAGGTCCCGTATACCCGCCATTGCACTAAGGAAAATAATCCGAAAGAATACAAGGACAAATATGCGCTGAATGCCTTGGGTTCTTTCCCCTTAAGAAAAGTCTCTCACGTTTCACGGATCTTCTCCGTGACTAGAATACCGCTGCAGGTGGCAAATGATTCCAGTGGCTGCCGTCGTGAACAAAGACAAGATCTGGTTGGGTCATGTTCTTTTCATGAATTTAATTTAAAATACAAACAGGAAAATTGGCTTTTTCAGGGGCAAAAAATAAGGTAACATCAAACAGTCAAGCAGGAAAGAATATAGTCTCAATTTATATTCTGTCTTCGGTTAAGCCTCTTCTTCTTATTCGTAGACCTTCAGACGTCAGTCTTGATATGTTTGAAGAAGCCGTCTTTTGTTTGTTTGAAATATAAATTGTATGCATAGGAGTTTATCTCCGCCAATGCCGGTCCCATTGACGTACGAGAAAGGAGGAGGGTTATGCGTCTGGCAAGTTTCCTCAAGTAAAAGTTATTTTGCTACAGAAGCTTGTAGAAGAGGATTGCACAGGATAGCAATGGATGACGAATTTATCGTTAGTTATGTAATTGCATAACACAGCATAAAAGTCTATGTTTCAGCACCAGCAACGAAAGCAAAATTATAATTTTGGGAGCATGCATCTTCCGTGTAGCAACATAAGGATGCGAGTCTTGGACTATTTCCTAGTCCTTAAGAAAGAAAGCAGGGTTTTTTGGGCAGCTCAAATGGTAAAGAAAGATTGTCAGAATACCATGAATAAAAAAGAGACCAGAAATATTGACATTTTAAAAGATCTGAACATCGTGGAAGATTGGCTACCAAACAAAATCTTGTCTTGGAAACATAAATATGTGTATATATCATCATCATCTGGTGCCTTGCCGACTGGCGTGGTCGATCATGCCTCTCCATAATCCGCGATCTCCTGCAGCATGTATCAGTTCGTGTGCCGACACACCTCCATGCCATGCAACAAGACTGTCAAGCATCTTCTCTCGTTGTCTTCCTCTATCCCTCCTTCCACAGATCTTTCCAGTGGTCTCAACATGTTCTATTTTCCCTCTTCTCATAACATGGCCGAAAAATGATGACTGTCTCCTTCTGATGTCAGTGATAAGTTGTCTTCGATCTCCCGCCTCTTTTAAAACCTCTTGGTTGCTCTTTTTGGCTGTCCAAGGTATTCTAAGCATTCTCCTGTAAAACCACATCTCTGAGGCCTCCAAAAATTGTTTGGCCTGCCTACCGATTGTCCAGGATTCACATCCATATGTTAAAACTGGATGTATGTAGCAAGCAAGAATTCTTTTTCTAACTCTCAATGACAAGGATATATTGCACAAGATGTTTTTTATTTTATAAAATGCATTTTTTTGCCTGTCCAATTCTGTTTCTTATTTCAGTTATGCATCTTCCATCTGATGTTATCCATGTGCCCAGATACTTAAATTTATGTTATCAATAAGCATGTTATATCCATTTGATAATATGCATATTATGAATTTAAAAAAAAAAAAACACACACACAAAAGCATGTGTGGTAAAATGCATGCACACACTAGTGCACACACAAACACACACACACATACACACCCACTCACAAAAAACATCGACATACCTTCACATACACATAAACACACCCCCATTCACCCACATACAGACCTTCCTACCCACACAGACACGCACGTTCCACACACATACATACATACAGATATACACATGCACACACAGACACACCCATAGAAACACATGCACACACACACACACACACACACAAACAGACATTCCACACACATACACACATACAGATATACACATGCACACACAGACACATCCATAGATACACATGCAGACATACACACACACACACACAAACAGACATACGCGCACAGACCCAATCACACACACACAGATACACACACAGATACACACAAGCGACAAACCCACACACAAACACACGCGGACACACACGAGGAATACCATGAGGAAAACCCACTTTCTGCAAAGGACCTGCTGCATGATGATGATGAACAGCAAAACAGGAAAACGCTAAGGTGAGGATGACACAGGGATTTCAGTGGCTAAATGGTTGAGCCGTCTGCTTCGACACGTGATTGACTTTGGCGTCTCCAGTACAATTGACATCTGATTGACTTTGGCGTCTCCACTGCAACTCAC